TATAAAAAACAAATATAAATTCAATGATTTATACTGGTATGTAGAAAGCAGTGTTGGGCATTTACTCCAGTAAATGTCCAGCAGTGACGTCACGAGTGATCACTCTTGGAACCTTAGCCATGAGTAATTTTCAAAATTACTCATGAAATATTTTTCCTCCATGAGTAAATCACTCGTGAAAAATTTTATCTCCATGAGTAAATTACTCATGAAAAATTTTAACGCCATGAGTAATTTTGAAAAAAAAAAGTTTTTATTTTATTTAATCTAATTTTTTTTTCACCTTCCCAATTTATTCGATATCAAGGTCGGCTCTTATGTTTTGGGGGGCGCTTTTTATGAAAATGGTATCCAATTTGAGATTGGGCCCTCCGGGCCTTGACTGTTTTCAACTTTTCGGATTAAATCGATATCAGGGTCGACTCTTATGTTTTGGGAGGGGGGGCTTTTTATGAAAATGGTATCCAATTTGAGATTGGGCCCTCCGGGCCTCGACTGTTTTCTACTTTTCGGATTAAATCGATATCAGGGTCGACTCTTATGTTTTGGGGGGCGCTTTGAATGAAAATGGTATCCAATTTGAGATTGGGGGGCCCAATCTCAAATTGGATACCATTTTCAATGTATGTTCAATTTATTAAAACGGATGTTTTAATAAATTCAGAATTTGGGAATAGGCTAAAGAAAAGTTCTGTTTGTCAGATTTAAGATTCACTGTCTTTGGTTGAAGCTGGATGTGGAGGGTTTCAGAAATGAGTCGTTTGTCATGGTTGAAAACTGTGGCAAGGATGGATGTTTTGTCGAAATCAAATGAATGATTGAGGGAGAGAGAATGTTCGGATAATTTGGAAGCGGTAAAATTACGAGAGGATACTGAATATTTATGTTGGGTTATGCGGTCTTTTAGGAGATTTTTGGTTTCACCAATATAGGATGAAAAACAATTGGGGGTAGAACATGGAATACGGTAAACGATATGAGAGCGGTGTGAGAGAGGAACCGGATCTTTTAGGGATGTGTATAGTTTTGAGAGAGTGTTGAGAGATTTGAATGCAAGTCGTAAGTTAGGGTTAGTAGATCGTAAAACTTTGTTGATGTTGTCTGAAAGGTTAGGAATATAAGGTAGAGATCTGTATATAGGGGCTGAAATGGGTTGTGGAGAATTAGTGGAAGTTGAGATTAAGGAAGAGCGATTATTGTGGTCTGTTATAAGTTTGTTAATGACATGGAGAGGAAAATTATTGTTTGACAGGATCTGTTTTATGCGTTTGGTATTGGTAACATGAAATTGGGGATCAGAGAGGGAGAGACTACGGTGGATGAGATTTTTCGCAACGTTAATTTTTTGGTGGTAGGGATGTTTAGAATGGAAATTTAGGAGTCTGCCAGTGTAAGTTGGTTTAGTGTACCAGTCTGTGGATATGGTGTTATTGGGATTTTTAATGATTAGAAGGTCGAGAAAAGGGAGAGAATTATTGAGTTCGCGTTGTACTGTAAAATTGAGGCGGGGGTGGTAAGAGTTAAAATGTGATAGAATATCAGGAATTTTATTTGGATTGATGATTAGGAGGAGGTCGTCTACGTATTTCCGAATAAAGATGATATCGTCAGGGTAAAGAGGGATAATGGAGTCTAGAAGATCATTGAGAACGATGTTCGAGATGTCGGGAGCGAGGGGGTTACCCATTGCTAGTCCGGAGATTTGGTTAAAAAATTGTCCTTGGAAAGTGAGGTAGCCTGATTTACAGCATAGATGAAGGGATTCGAGATATGAGGAGCGGTTAAGTGAGGTGTGAGGTTCAATGATAGTCCAATTGTCGTCTATTATAGTAAGTGCCTTGTCTATGGGTATGTTCGTAAATAAACTTTCAGCATCGAAGGAGCAAAGAATGAAATTGTCTGGAATGGTAAAGGAGAGTAGCTGTTCACGGAGATGGAATGAGTTTTGTACATCATAAGGGTTGTTGTGGCTGAAGATTTGTAAGGAAGGTAGTAAGAATTTGCTAAGTTTAACAGAAGGAGAATTAATGTTGGAAGTGATCGGACGGAGTGGGGTGCCGGGTTTGTGGATTTTAGGAAGTCCATAAAACGGGGAGCAACTGAATTGTAGGAGATAAGGTTTCTGTAAGTAGGATAGTTTATGAGTTTAGAATTTAGAAGATTTTTTAGGTGTAGGTTAAATTTGGTTTTTAATGATGAGGTAGGATCACGGGATGTAGGAGAGTAAGTGGAACGGTCTGATAGGAGTAAAGTCATTTTGTCAGTGTATTCTGTACGGTCCATAATTACAGTTTTGTTGCCTTTATCAGCTCTGGTTATGATTATATTATCATGGGATTTTAAGAAGGATCGGGTAAAAGAGAGGTCTTTGAAAAATTCAGGAGAAAAAAAAAGAAGAGGAGAGAGGTGGGTGTAAGAGATAATTGGAAATAATATTAGATCCGGTTCCTCTCTCACACCGCTCTCATATCGTTTACCGTATTCCATATTCTACCCCCAATTGTTTTTCATCCTATATTGGTGAAACCAAAAATCTCCTAAAAGACCGCATAACCCAACATAAATATTCTGTATCCTCTCGTAATTTTACCGCTTCCAAATTATCCGAACATTCTCTCTCCCTCAATCATTCATTTGATTTCGACAAAACATCCATCCTTGCCACAGTTCTCAACCATGACAAACGACTCATTTCTGAAATCCTCCACATCCAGCTTCAACCAAAGACAGTGAATCTTAAATCTGACAAACAGAACTTTTCTTTAGCCTATTCCCAAATTCTGAATTTATTAAAACATCCTTAGTTATATTCCTTTCCTTTTTGCTGACAACTCCCTTATATATATATATATATATATATATATATATATATATATATATATATATATATATATATATATATATATATATATATATGTATATATGATATATTTTCTATTTCAATTTTTCTCCCTTATTACTCAATAGTTATTTTTCTTTTGAATTTTTCTTTCACTTTCTATTAACTTTCGTTCAATTTTCCATAATTTTTCTAAATAATATATCTCTCGTACCTATTTAGGCTTCCAGCGCTTTTAGTTCAAACTTCGTCTGATAACCGTTAGAGATGACGCCACCTTCACATCTCTTCTCTCTCCCCCTTCCTTGTAACGACTTTTATTCTCCCCTTGACACTTAAGGAGAAAGGTAGTACTTCTTTTATTTCTTTCTTATTTCAGCTTTCTCAATTTCTTTCCTCCTTCCTTTTATTCCTTTTTCTGTTTTTAACTCTTTATTATATTATACATTGTCTGTACATCTTGATAGACTTTACAATATCTCAATTTTCTATCTAACTACTCCATTCTCAATGTTTTAATTTTACTATTTATTTTATTTTCATTTCTTATATAACTTTATATTTCTTTTTTATGTTTTTACATTTTATTCTAAGATTCCCAATTTAACACTTTTGTCACCCCTTTTTGATTATGCCTACTTCATCATTCCACACTATGTAACAGTTTTTATTATTTATCTCTTAGTTCTTAGTCATTATTCTAACAATTTCATTTTACTTTATATCTATTTTATTTTTCCAATAATTTTTTTTTCATTTTATTTTCTCATTTTTTATTATCTTTTTTACCATCATTACTTATGTTTCTCATAACTTGTTATCTGGTTATTTTCTTAGCCCTGATGAAGGCCTGAACTTCAGGTCGAAACGTAGGCATATGTAAAAAATAAATATTATAATTTATTTTTTGCCTTCCTTTTTGACTGAGCACCCCAACTATTCTTCTCTTCATTATCCACGACAGTCAACCAATTACCAATTATGAAAATAGAACTGTTTATCAAGTTTCAAAATATTGCTAATATTTGAATAAATACAATATTTGACTTTTGATAGTCCAAACTATTATTAATTAAGAAAATATGAAATTTATCAAATTACTCATACAAAAGGTTACAACATTTAATACATTGTTTTTTTTCTCTTAGAAAGCTCATTTCACAACTAAAGTGTTATTTATAGAACCAGATTTTTTTTTTTCATCACAGGCAGTGGCCTGCTGAACTTAGATGGTCTCAATGTGGCCTGCAGGCTAAAATGTTAGGAGACCCCCGTCTTAACATAATGAACAACTTTTTTATCTTCGAAAATTCTCATAAATTGCGTGTTTTCTAATTAAATTAATTAATTAGATGAGGTAGTACTAAAAACTCATTTGTTTACATAGAATAAAATCCTGTTACTTTTTTCTAGTTCTTGGCCTACCAATCAAAATGGAATGTCTGAACCTATGACACTGAGTGCTTTCATCTTAACTACCACAGGGCCTTTACACATTTTGATAAAAAAAAAATTAACTAAAATAAAAATATTTCTATCTACTTTTTGGTTGTTTTTTTTTTTCATCTTAATTCAGACAATGACATGATTTAATATTAACTGATAGTGATATTTATTTTGAAATACATAAACTGAGTAGTGATACAAAATGTTCACTTTTATTAGAGGAAAAGCAAAATTAAGTTCAAACATACAGGTAAAAATCCTAGTTCTGACCTTAACTAACATAACAATCAAAGATTATTATTATGACTGTGTTTATTCATCTATGATTGATACATTCAATTAATAACTTTTAAAAAATTGTTACTCCTCACTGAACCTGTTAAAATGATATTTCTATTCATAACTTTTGTTTGTTTATTCAAATACCACCTGTATAGGTCTTTTTATGACCAATGGTACATAACCACCTTCAGGAAACCACTGAATACTCTACATTATTAATAATGTAATACAGAGTACTAAACAAAGTTTCAAGACTTCGTTTCGGATTAAATAGTCACAAAAGCACATAGAGAAGCCTTATTTGAAATTAGTTTTAAAAAATTAAAACCAAAACAATGCAATGTCATTTTATCTAACAACACAAAGAACAGTGATTACATACTCATTAATTCATTTGGACAAAATAAATTCATCAAAACAAGGAATAAAGGAAAATTTCTTATTTTAAACATGCTTTATTTAGTTAAGAATGTTAAAAAAAAAATCAATACAAAAATAGACATTATATTGAAATAAAATATATAATGTTTTGTTCTAGTTTTCTTCAAGGTGTGTTCTTTACATATATGCAATCCCCTGAAAAATCACTTTTGCAAGCGAGAAATAATAAGCTGTTCCAACTTGATGGTATCTTCAGCAAATTTCCTAATACCTTCTGACAACTTATCTGTAGCCATCTGATCTTCATTCAAAAGCCAACGGAATTTTGGTTCATCTATTTCTACCTTAGATAGATTTAGTTCTGATGCTAAATAAAATAAAAATAAAACTTAGTACTCAACACATTTTCATGCATATAAAATTAAACATTTGTTATTAGATGTTTGAGTTTATATAAAGGTGGGTATACCTTAACAAACTAAGCGGCTCATGAAATAACAATGTTTACCAGAGTGTATAAGAAGTATTACAAAAAATAGAGTACAATAGAACAAAGTTGGATTTTTAGGACAAGAACAACATAATGATCAAAATCAGAATAAAAAAAAAAAAAAAATCTAAACAGATCATTCAATTTTTTTTATATAAGTCTTGACTATAATTTTAAAACAGATTTTGATCTATCTCATGAACATCCTGAATTACACCAACCTCCACTGCATTAATTCTTCCACTAGCAATTCAGTCTATACATACACCCACCTTAATAACAACTAAAAGTTATGTATCAAGCAAAGCAGTGACTGACTAGAAAAGATTGTTGTGAAGCAAATGCAATATAAAAAATAAATAACCAAACCTTTAATAGGATCCAACATCCTTTTAACACCTTCATTATCATTTTCTAATTCAGATAATAATTTAGGGCTTATTGTCAAAAGATCACATCCAGCCAAAGCTTTGATTTCACCTAAGAATTAAATAAAAAACATGTATAGGATGAAAACATAACAATACACGATATAAAGTAAATAACTATAAAAGGATTGTTATTTGAAAAAAAAAATGGAAAAATATAACCCACACACACACACACACACACAGGCATGCATACACTTTATTTAAATTCCATAATTATAATATTAAAAAACAAATCATTTAAAATCTAATTCATGAGAGTAAAAGAATACCTATATTACGAAATGATGCTCCCATCACTGCTGTTTTATATCCAAACTTCTTATAGTAATTATAAATTTCAGTGACTGACTTAACTCCAGGATCATCCAATGAATCATAGGACTTCTTTTCGGTATTGTTAACATACCTATAGAATTAAATGTATAAAATGTACACCCATTTTAGTCATTTGTAATGTTTCATTTCAATAATTATAATTACTTAAAATTTTGATTAATTTAATAATTTAAAAATCATATGCATAAAAACTAATAACTAGTATGAAGAAAATATCTACCAATCTAATATACGCCCCACAAAAGGTGAAATAAGTGTTACATTTGCTTCAGCACATGCAACTGCCTGACAGAAAGAAAATAGCAATGTAAGATTGCAATGGATTCCATATTCTTTCTCCAATATTCTATAAAAAATAAGGTAACAAAAATCAATGAAAGTATTTCAAGATAAGTAATACAATTTAAAAATCAATAAGTACTCTTTAGGAAAAAAGTTTGGTATGAATAAATAAAGGTTAACAGATAATTTTTAGTTATTAATAATTGTATGAAAACTATTTTTGAAAGACAGCATATAAAATAACAGTTGAATTTGATAACATTCCTTGTACAAAAGAGAATTGAATTTTTATTTTTTTTCTGTTGGCATTACAGACTTTGTAGATCTTTTGTTGCCTAAACAAGCCTACTCCAAAACAAGGCTTAACAATGAAATCTCTCCCTACTTCTATCCAGTTATCTGAATGCAGCTCTATTTCATCTTTGTTGATTCAATCTAACCATCTGCTTTTTGGCCTTTCATGATATCTTTTGCCTACTATCGAGGCATTCATTGTTGTGTGGAGACTTCCAAATGGATTGCTTCAAGTTACATGCCCCACCCATCTTAACCTCTGTGCCTTCATAACATGAGATATTGATATGATCAGTTTCTGTAAGCATCTCTTTATTGGTCTTTCTTCTATATGTGTTAGTATTCTGATTATAGATTTGAATATAAATGATAAATACTTTTTATATATGTATTGATTAATGTTATACATTATACCATACTTGCAAAATTTTCAAAGTGGCCTCCTACGTGATATACACACTCTTGCCACTAATTTGGAAGCTGGGGTATTTCTTGCTGATAAAAACTCTGAGCAAGCTGTGTCAGTCAATCGCTGGCTGAGAGATTTTTCTAGCTGAGAAAAGTTTTTGCCTTCACTAGGTAGCTTTCACCATTCTTTCTTTATCAATTTCGACTCTTTAAAGTCTAATTTGACCACAAAAATTCTACTCTTCTTGATGAAATCAGTTCAGTTTCTACCACTGGCCTGTTTTTTATTTTTGGTCAAAAACCTCAGAATCCATTGAGTATTAACTTTTCTGAAGCCAAAGTAATCAATAATAAAGGATTGAGCACTCCCATAGCTGATTCCCACTTTTGTACAGATTTATTCGACAATGAACTGGCAATGATGTTCAATTAGCTCTCAAACGGCAGGAATATTTTCATTTGTTAAGACTTGAAATTTGGCATCATCACAACTTTCGTTTTTGACTTTCTCTATGGCTCGATCTGGGATCAGAGTAGTAATGCATGGAGTAGAAGGATCAAAATAGAACTGCTTACAGAAACTAGTCAATCAATATCCTATGATATGAAGTGATCTATCAAGAAGCCTCTACACAACAATGAATGCATCTTTTGGTGTGAATATCTCCTGAACAAAGCATTTGCGTACATACCTTCAGAGAAAATTTTTTTCCCGTTATGAGGTCCTTAGTTCATTTTTGCAGTTTGGCCAATTAACCCTGAAACACCCTGTATATAAATATCCAGCCAGTCTACATTTATAACTATTTTAAATGTATTTGTCTGGCCAAATTTTAAACTCTATTATTAAATAAAGCAGAAAAAAATCATGTTACTTGAAAAAATTAATATTATATTTTACAGAAAAAGTTTCTAGATAATTTTATTCTATTTTGTTACATTCAATACATACAATTAAAAATCTCATTGTTCTCAATAACTTCTTAATATCACACTCACAACTTTATATGGATTTACGTTTTCATCCTCTTTGGACATGAGGACCTTGGCAAGGGTGATTTGTTCATGATATCAACAGTAATGGTAGTCTGTGGTACAGGGCCAATTTCATAAAATTATTAACATTCACCTAAAACTTAGTGGGTGACTTCATACTACGTAACCTAAAAATATTTCATCTACGAATGTACAATACTGGGGAGGCCCGGTACATGCTATATGACCGTGAGCCCTTTTCTCGTGAAATAAAAAATGAAGTTTCATGGAGGAATATCTGTGAATGACGTCTCTACTCATTTAGTTAATTCCCTTTTATTTTATTATTTTCAACTAATGTCCCTGAAGGGATAATTAATTTTAGTGGGTTAATTAATTATAATAATTGTAACATACAATCTCATTAGAGGCCTGTTGACTATGAACATTTGATTGTACTCATCTTTATTAACCATTAACGTGAAAATCAGCTGGATGTTCAAAAAATTTCATAACCTCTTTCTAACAACATGTGGGGGTGGCAGTTACGCCAAACACCCCAATATTTTTGTATACCACTATGACCATTTGATTGTACTCATCTTTATTAATCATTAATGTGAAAATCAGCTGGATGTTCATACATTTTCACAATGTCGTTCTGACAACATGATGTCGTAGGTTATGCCAAATGCCACAATTCCGAGAATTTTCGTAGTTAAAATATTTGTGAATTACGACAAAATGAAGCCACTCACGAAGTTTTAGGCGGATGTTAATAATTTTATGAAAAATGATCTGTTCCATGGGCGGTTGTACACGGTGGATCAGACCCGCTACCGTCCACTCCACTCTCATTCCTATAAATTGCATATCGTTGTGTTCCTTGAGACTATTTATTTAAAAAAAACAAAAACCAATGGTCCCACAGCAAAAATTGAACACACTGTCCCAAAATGGCAGTTGATGACTTTGACTTGAGTTAGTTTTTCGATCACTGAGATTCAACATTTGGTTTAATTTTGTCATAATTGGCATCTTATTAAAGCTGAATAATGAAAAATGCCTTTGAACATCTAGACAATACATTTCTCTTTCAACGTTTTAGACGGTCTCTATTGTAAAAACATATATAATTATAGTAACAAAACTTAATTCAGAAATAGTTAGCATTTAAGATTTTTTTTGTATATCTATTTATTGATTATTAGAGGTTTGTTAAATTGTATGCACTTTTCTGTGTTTTATGTACTTAAATTGTTAACTACTACTGAATTAAGTTTAGTTATTATATTATAATGATGTAGAAGACAGTCTGCCGATTAAGGGCATTTTCTAAGAAACTGATTCAAATATTATAAAAATTAATCACTGATTTAGAAAGAGAAATGTATTGCCTAGATGTTTTATTCAAAAGCATTTTTTATTATTGTTGGCCGTTTATTTACAAACAATGCTTGATTTTCAACTTTAGTTTGAACGACTTGAATAAATTGACTTTACCAGTATTTTTATTGCCTAGACCGTTTATTTTTAAATATTTTTTTATGTTTTATTGTTCACAGACTATTAAGCTTTAATAAAATGTGAATTATAATGAAATTAAACCAAATGCTGAATCTCAGTGATCAAAAAAATAACTCAAGTCAAAGTCATTAACCGCCATTTTGGGACAGTGCGTTAACTTTTTTTGTGGGACTATTGGCTTTTTTTATATAAATAGTTGAAAGGAACACAACAATATGAAAATTATAGGAATGTGGGGGAAGTACACAGTAGTGGGTCTCGTGTACCACTACTGAGGGTGATGATGCCATGAACAAACAATCCTTGCGAGGACTCTCACATCCAAAGAGGATGAAAACGTGAATCCATATAAAGTTGTGAATGTAATATTAAGAAGTTATTGAGAACAATGATGACAATGCAGTTTTTAATTTTATGTATTGAATGTAACAAAATAAAATAAAATTATCATATATACGATTTAAAATTTGGCCACACATATTATATGACAAATGAACATAAGTTGTGGGTAGAGAATATGATAAAAACAAATTTCCTTAAAATGGCAACATTTTAGGAAAATGTTTAAAATAGCTCTTTAGACTGGTTGGAGATTGATAACATATTATCAATATATTCTAATAGGGAATTTAAGTCTCTAAATTTTCTTTTAAATGAATTTCTTTTCGATGATGAATTATTTAAAAGATATGAAGGAATGTTTGATGAAAAATGTGAGGTGGTAAAATGTTTTTTTTTTTCGAAAATGCCAACTTTTTCCAAGTGTGTAGCTCGAAAATGATTGAGAATTCAGGAAACACCTATAGAATAAAAGTTTTAGATAATTTTATAAACTTTCATTTATTATCTGATCATTTTCTCCTGTGATGCACCATTTTCGAGATATAAGCAGGAACCTGAAAATCGTGGCTTTCAGATCTACAAGGTCTGTAATGCCAACAGAGAAATAATTCAGAAATAACATAAACTGAATAAAATTTTTAATGATGTTCTAATCACACTCATTTAGGAAAACAAAGAAATATAATTTTAAAATACCATTAATCTTTTTAAAACATACAATTAGTCAAATATGTTCACTACCAAACTACACAATATAGTTCACCTTGCAGCTTGAATACCTTCCCAAGTTGAAGCTAGTTTAATCAAAACACGTTCTTTGCTTATACCATGCTCTTCATACAATTTAATAAATTTCTTCGCCTTTTCTACACTACCAGTAACATCAAAAGAAAGTCTAAAAAAATAAATAAAATTAACAAACGAATCATTAGGCACAATCAGACATTAGAAATGTCTTGACTTGAGAAGAGATTTAAATTAGTAAACAATAGTGGATATAGACCTTATTTACTCAATTTTTTTTTGTGCAGGGTCCACACATTGCATTACACTGTATTGTTTTACTTTGTTTATAGGCCTGCTGTTTTGACAGAATATGTAAGGTAAAAAGTATAATTTTCAAGAAGTCTACAGGAGAAATTTGGTTTTAATTTTGGATTTGTGTTGCTTTTTGGGTTTAAAAAAAATGTATGAAAAAAATTACTATGCACCCCTTCAAAAGAATTAAAATTTACAAACAATAGGCTTACTTTTTTATGAATAGAATGGATGGGATATCAATAAGTTATGTTAATAAATACAAAAGTTTTCTCGATCTTCTGTCCCATAAATCTCCTTTATTACATAATTTTAGTATGTTTTGGCCATTGGGCATCTTCAGCATAAATGGAAAATTTTTTAAATATACATTTTGCTCAATATATATCTTTTTACATAAATCCTTAATTATCTTTTGATTTTTTTTTTATAATCCATAACAAATACCTGCTATTCTAATTATCACAATGTCTTTTTAAAGAAAAACAATTTAAAATTGTTATCATCTATTTTCCCTTGCCCAATATACAATCGTCACTTTATTTAAATTAAAAATAAAATTTAATAAATTATCAAAAAACTTAAAAACATATATACAATCATTTAATGGATCCAAAACAATCAATTCACTGAAAAAAATTTTAACAACTAAAACCTGTTATTTTATAAGCTAGTTCATTTAAAATACAACAGCAAATAAAACTTTATTTTATCTAATTTTTAGTTTATTGTTTTATGCAGTAACACAATTTAATTGAATGACCTTTCTTTATTAATTCAAACCATTTTTTATTTGTAGACAAATTTTAATTCTAATAGATGGAGGGGAGGTTTCTTTAGAATCTGCTACTATATTGACCATTTTTTGCTTCTCCTGCAACATGTGGTTGAAAAAGTTCACAGGTTTGATACAATAGATCCAAAAATATTACAAAAGAAACAAATATGAGAAAAATAAAAATAATTGAAGCATTATATGCGGAGAAGAAAAATGTAATCCTAGTAGGCTCCAATCACCTCCCTAAAACTGTACCTAATACTCCTAACCTGTTCCTACATGACAATCCCACTAATAAGAACCTAGAAATAACCTTTGATCAAACCCTTTCCTGGAAAAAAAACATGTATCCAATGTCTACCACCGCACATTTTCTACCTTGAAACGTCTAAATTACCTCCGTCACCTATTTCCATTTGAAACCCGTTGGCTCCTTGTCACGTCCTTAATATTTCCCCACTTTGACTATTGCTGCACGGTATATGGGTGTATGGAAACTAAAAGATTTGATAAATTGCTTTGCACGATTCATCTTTGGGTTCCCAACGGACCACCTCTGTTTCCGTTTTTATGAAGAGTTGAAGTGGCTTTATCCTTCCTACCGTTGTATTTCCTGGCATCCTTCCACTTTCAATCCTGCCCATATTACTATTGGCTTTTTCATACCTTTCCGAACTGCTTCAATCCAAATCCTCGATTCATTCACCCAGTACACGTTCTAGGTCTTCATATCTATATACTATGGCCCAACGAACCACTGCTCTCGACAGATCGTTCATTATCCGGTCCTCATCCCTTTGGAACTCCATCCCTTCCCACATCCGTCGCTCCAATAACCTCCCTACCTTTAAATCCCGGCTGTTTAACCATTTTTTATCCATCCATTCCCCATCAAATTGTAAATAGATATTGCTGTAAATATTTATATAAATTATCAGACCATTCTTCATCATTTCTACTAATGTTTTATAATTTTTTTTTTAATTGATTAAATTCAGAAAGTAATTGAAAAAGTATAAATATATATATGTGTGTGTGTGTGTGTGTTTGTGTGTGTGTGTGTGTGAACATGAATGGACAGAGCTGTCAATTTTAGACATGATACAAAAAATATAAACACACACTACACAGACATAATAAACAAAAAGAAATAATAAACAGGAAATAGGTGATAATGATTTTATTCTTTTTTATCAGTAAAGATGACTATTAAATTATATAAAATAGTTGTATATGTAAGAGAAGCAAAAACTATTTAAGAACAATAATAACCAAAAAATAAATTTAATTGAATGTTTTGGATCCATTAAATTATTATATATATGTGTTTAAATTTTTTGATAATTTATTAAATTGTATATGCAATTTTATTTTTAATTTAAATAAAGTGACCATTGTCTATTGGACAAGGGAAAATAGACGGTAAAAATTTTAAATTGTTTTTCTAAAAAAAGACATTGTGTTAATTAGAATAGCAGGTAATTGTTATGGATTATAAAAAAAAAAAAAAGATAATTGTAGATTTATGTAGAAAGATATATCTTGAGCAAAATGTATATTAAAAAGGTCTTTTCAGATATGCTGAAGATGGGCAATGGCCGAAACCTTCATATAAATTAAAATTATAAAATAAAGGAGATTTGTGAGACAGAAGACCGAGAAAATTTTGTATTTATTAACATAATAGGCCTACCGCAAATACAGATTATTTTGATGGAATGGATAACATTCATTGAGTAAACTACTAATATTAAGAATTTAATGTATATAAACAGGACTAAAAATATCCTACCTAGCATCCACTTCCGTTGACACTCTTCCAGGAATTATATTCAAAATTGATGTTCCAAAGAGAACTAATAATTTATCCATAGTAGTTTCAACCTGGTTTTTCAAAGATCTGCAAAAAAAAAAAATAAATAATTGGTTAGAAAAATAACAAAATAAGTGAAAATCGAAAATTTTTAGATAAATCTATTATTTAATTAGACTGATATTAATTGTGGTTTTGACAATTAGGAACAAGATAATGGAGAAGAGAAATAACTACAGAGGCCAAACTCTATACTCAGCGTATCTACTGAATCTTTTTTATGAAATTCCTTGACTTTTCCAGATCAATTTTGGAAAAAATCCAAGTTATCAAAATAGTTTCACATATTAAAACATTTTACATTGCTAGTACAATTTTAAACATTTCAAATGCTGTAATCTACAATACTGGAGGCATTATAAGAAATTATAATTTTTTTATGAAATAAATGTTTGTAGCAGAATAAATCAGCTCCCCATTGGCATAAAAATAAAAACACGAAAGTAGCCTCTTTGATACAGAATCAGCTCTTTGCTAAGCACATTATATGCAGAAGTTTATTTTTCCTCCCATTATTTATTCTATGCTTCACTAAGGTAAGGTGGTTGAGATGAATATGCTGTTAATTTCCTAATGGAATTGAAGTTTCACTAACTATGCAGTTAGGGCTATCTTATGGTACGCTGATTAATTGATCAAAGATCATTCCAAGGTTTTTGATGGAGGGATAGTAGCATTTGATGGGATTATCATGTAGGAACAGAGTTGGAATATTAGGAACAGTTTTAAGGAGGTGATTGGAGCCTATTAAGATTGCCTTCGTCTTTTCTGCAAGACAGTAATATTGTTGTAAATTCCAATAATTATATAACAGAACTAACACAGATAATGTATTAATAAAAATTAAAAAGATAAAAGATGAACTACAAAAATAAAAAACAGACAGAGGAAGATTTTGCAATTTGGTAAGAAGGATGTTATGGTCAACTGTATCAAACGCTTTGGAAAAATCTAGAAGGATGAGGATAGTAAGGTTTTGATGTTCAATGGAGTTTTGGATGTCATGGGTTATTTTAAGGAGGGCAGATTGTGTTAAATAGCAGGATTGGAAGCCAGATTGGAATGGGTTGATAAAGGAATGTTCCTCTAGGAAGTTTGAGAGCTAATTTTGGACAAGGCGTTCTAGCGTCTTTGAGAGGTTGGATAGGAGAGAAATAGGACGGAAGTCGTGCAGTGAGGTAGGATTGGCAGTTTTATTCAAAGGTTGGACTAGGGCGGTTTTCCAGGAGGATGGGAATATGGAGTTTTGCAATGAAAAATTGTAGATATGATAAAGAACAGGAATAAGGTCAGGAATGCTGGATTTTATTAGTTTTACAGGAATATTGTCAGGACCATAATCATTAGTGTGGGATTTCAGGATAGTGGAAAATAATTCATCATAGCACACGTGGGAGAAAAAGAAGTCTTCAGGATTGAATTTGTGATGTTTAATATCGAAAGTATGAGAGGAAGAGTGAGTAAAGGATAAGAAATGGTTATTGAGATCATCTGGAGAAAGAGAGAAGGAACTACGATTATTAGACTCTGGTAGGGATAGGTTACGGAGTATTTTTCATTTAGATTTGGAGTCGGGAGCATTGGACAGAACATTATGGAAGTAGGTGGTTTTAGCTAGACGGACTGCGGATTGGGTTCCATTGCGAAGCGCCTTGAAAGACGCATAATCCACAGCTAGACGGGTTCGACGGTATTTGTGCCTTGCTGCATCTCTTCCCCTCATCATTTCCTTCATCTCAGGGGTCAGCCAAGGTGCAGTGGGACGGCGTAAGGTTTTGGTTTTCAGAGGAGCGTGGATTTCTAATATGGATTGTAGGTTTGAGGTCAGGGTGGATATCATAGGATCAATGGAGTTGTAGGAATATATGGTGTCCCATTGGAGAGAATTTAGGTCTGGTTGAAGGCATTCATAGGAGAGAAGGATTAAATTGCGGTATGAAACTATTTTGGGAGTGAAAGATTTTACGGGTAGGTCGTATGTAATTTGGATCAGGTCATGTGATGAAAGAAATGGAACTGGGTGTTGAGAAGAGGAATGGATTTTGATGGGAGAGTCAGAGATATAAAGGTCTAACCAAGTATTGGAAAACTGCGTGTGGTGGGTAGGAGAATAAGGAACAAGATGAAGATTAAGGGAAAACAACAGGTCGGTAAGGAAGTATTTTTCGGGAGATTGTGAATGCATATAATACAATAAATATGAACACGAAGATAGGAATTATCAGTGCCTTATCAGAATTATCAGTGTTCAGGTTATAAACATTGGCAGATACCAGTTGGTCCCACCCTGCTATCTGACAAGTACCTATAATTAAATTATTGTGAGATAAATAAATCAATTAATTTATATTTACTTTTTATCACCATTCTTAATACCATATACCACAGCTTCCTGTACCAAATTTTCATATTCAGGAAGCTTAGCTGCAGCCAAAATAAGTGATGGATTAGTCGTGGCATCAGTAGGATTATAAACCTTCATTGCTGCAATCACAAATAAGTAATTATTTTCTTGTTAAATATTCCTCCAAAATGAAATTAGATTAGAATTAAATAATTTTAAGTTACATAGTCCTTTCAAATAATAAAAATAATTTTTATCTATCGTTAAAGGCGTAGAAATTACTAGTTTAACAGCGACTATAAGTTTCATATTAATATATAAAAAACTGTAATTGATAGAGATATTTTAAACTTTCATCATATAGATCAAATGAAACAATAAATCATGATAAAGGAGAATACAATATATAGATAAACATATGATTTTATTCAGATGAGCTACAGATGAACATTCAGTTAAACTGTATGTTCTGATCTCAAATTGTATTGAGTTACATAGTGCTTTAAAAATTAGCAGATTAAAACTGCATTTTTTAGTTAAATTAGTGAAATAATTTATTCTTTTAAAAAACAATTGAGAATTATACTTAAAATAAAAGGACTTTAAATGAGTAAATTGCAGCTTGTACAGTGTTAGGAACAAAAAATGGGTTAATTAAAACTATTATTTTAAGATCCTCAAATCAATAGGTCTGGTGGACATACAGATATGTATCACACGAACATGGTGTCCTTGTATTATGTCCTTTTAGGCTGTTAAATATGATTACTGACACTAACGGGGAGGGGAAAGATCTTGATTTTTAGGAATAGAGGGGTAAAATAATTAGTTTTAAGAATAAGTCAATCCAAGGCATAGAAACAAATATGCAACATAAAACCATGCCATGTGTTCCAGGTTATTATTATAATCGTTTTCAAGGACGGAACGAGAGAAAAAAGGTTCCTGCCCTGATCTTTAAAATGCTAAAATTATTTAAATAGGTTTATAAAGTTGTTCTGTAATATAAATGTAGAGCCAATGAATGCTGAACCAGCAAAACAACTAGGTAATAAAACATGACAGGTAATTAAAACAGACTTTAACCTTAAAATACAGATTATATAATATTAACAAAGAAAAACAAAACTACTTTGCCTGCTAAATTATGGGCATAGCCCACCGACAATATATTTTAATTTTGATTTCATTCTCATTACTAATATTGAGGGCTAATAATTGTTAATGATGGAACCATGGGTCCTACACTTTTGAATTCAAACCTTAAATATTTTCATGATTACTTATTATCACTTAAGAACCTCAATGATTGAATTCACTGATTCCCCTGTTGTAGATTAAGCACAATTTTTTAATACTCAATGACTAGGCTTTTTCCATTTAAGGAAAAACAATTCATTAAAATTTTTAAAAAATAATATGAATTTAATGATCCAATATCTACAGTAATACTAAAGAATATATATTGGTCATCATACTGTCATTCAAAATAATTAAAGAGTTCAGCTCAGAAATTTCTAAATAGTTACATCTAAAACCATTACTTCTAACTTTTGATTTCAGACTGGATTATAAAATGACATCGACTTAAATACAATCTGCGAAAAACAAAATGAAACCAAAAAACAATCTCAATACAAAAAAATGAAGAACGACGTTATAAAAAACAAGGAATTTATTTCTTATTAGGAACTTTAAAAATTACCATTAATATCTCCCGTGTCAGCCACAACCGTGGTCAAAGCTTTTAACTGTTCTAGAGAATTTGATTTAGACATTTTAAACTAATTTCACGAAGCAAGACAAGAATAACAACTAAACACCGAATGATACGGCCACAACTCCAGATCACGCGGGCAAGACTTGGTAGATAACCTGCTGTAATAACTGATAACCCGCTGATAACAGTGGAGACTTCATGTTCATCACAGATTGCTTAATTTTTCTTTATACCCACAATCTTTTATAAATCTTACGGTAAAATTATAGAGAAATAGAGGGCAAGAGGGAAATAATATACTTCTCGCGGACCGAACAGATTAGGGGAACGAACCCCGAATAACAAAACGAACATGGGGGGGGGGGGGTCACGCTAACTGCCAAACCTTACGGTGCAGAGGGTCAGATCCCCAGTACCGGCGTCTGGGAATGTGGGTTCTCAGGTGTCGTTATCCAGCGACCACAGTGCTGCAGTAGTGGATCACTTGGCCAAGGTAGATACTAATACTTCATGTGAAGAAGGGAGAATTCTCCATTCACCATTCTCCTCAACGGGGCCAAATATCTTCCGTAGGACCTTCCTTTCGAAAACTAATATTTTAACCATCTGTTTAATGAAAAGAGAAATATAGGAACAATTCATCCACATAGACGTATTTTCCAGTGTAATATATATATATATATATATATATATATATATATATATATATATATATATATATATATATATATATATATATATATATAAACGATTATCGTTTCGAGCACTAATGCATTCTGCAAGGGGGTGACCTTCTCCCTGGATGGTGGACAAAAAATTCCGAAAAAGTTCCAAAAAGCAGCTATTCAAAGACAAGTGTGATGTAGTTTTTGGGCCGCCAGGAGCTGCGAAGGCTTGTGCCTCTGTCGCAGTATGATCCTATTGGCTCCGAATTGAAATACATCTCACAGATGAAATACTTGATGGAGGAAAATTTATTTAAAAAAATATGAACTTCATTTATTCTTTCGAACAACCTTTTATTCGAGCAGAAGAAAACACGGGTTTTCTCCCGTACCCAGTTTTTATTCAGGTCCAACAAATCTGGATGAATTCCAACCTCAAGTAACTATAGTCTCCTTCAATAGCGGATCCAGGATTTAATTTTGGGGGGCTTCAGCCCGAAAGATTTTTTTTCATCATATACATAAAATGATAATTAATTTGAAAAAAAAAGAAAGAAGTTAATTTATACCTATATGAAATCGTGTTTAAGTGGTTCCTCAAGACCTATTAAATGTAATTACAGGAACAAGAATACTTTAAGATTGTAACCAAGATTAAGAAAGCACTGGAAACAAAACAAACTCTACTCTCTTTTGTTTCCATGGCAGATGACTAATTGATATTTTAGCATGTGCATGTACTCTTACATCTTATTGTATCTTGACTATCTTTGGATGTGGCATGCCATAATATTGTATATAAATAAGTATCTTTTTTGTTATTTGTATTATCTTTATTATCTTAAATATCTTTCTTTTTTTAACTTTAATTGTATATAGTAATTATGTTTGAGTTCCCTCCTTTTCCTTGTATTTTATTTCTTTTTATTGTACATAGTATTAATTCTGTAAATATTTCTTTTTGTAAATAGATCTGTTAACCTTTTTGCTGCTTTATAAAAAATATCCAACCTAACCCTTCTCACCTGAGCTAGCATGGTAGAGTAAATATGTAATGATGGCCATTAAAGGGTAAGTACTTTCTGTTTTCTAATTTATCTCTTTGGAGATGAAAGGCTGTTAAGCCAGGCGCCCAACAAATAAAAATTGCTATTGAAAATTATAATTATTAAAAATTATTTTATTATATTTTTATTTTATCCTTTTTTTGGTCATATAAATAGTGGCGGCTGAAACGTGGGGCCTAGATGTATATAAAGCAGTAAATAAATGTGAATAATTAACTATAAGATAAATGAGAATGAGGTTAAGTGTAATTCAAGTTGATAAAAATTGCTTGAAGACACCAAATATCTAATTTATCTATTATAAAAAGGTATTAACTTGCATTAATTATTAAGATTAAAGTGATTATCATTACCTACTGTACAAAATTTATGTTTTATCTTAAATAAATTTTGATGTACCTTCATAAGTATAACTTAATTTTATGTACACGTTATTGTTGTATTCAAGCAAATATTTATATATTAGAGATATAAAATATAAGAATGAATAAGACAATGATGAAAACATATATATTTATTTGTAAAAATACATATGTACTTGTATAATGTCAATAATTAACTATTGTCACTAATAGCAACGCATGAACAAACAAACTGGTTAGCAACGCATAAACAAACAAGCTGGTTAGCAACCAGGTAGATGATAAACTAAAGACTAGCAACTAAGTAGGTTATGCATTGTTACAATCTTATCTTATCAAAGTCACTATGCCCACCTTGACTAAAGGCTAATTACTGAAACAAACTATACCTTTATTGAATTAATTTTAGTGATTTAAAAATAGTTATTTTGTCACTTTGAGTTGCCTTTAGCCTCATGAATTATTTTTAAATCTCTAATTTATTTGTTTAAGAGTACGCTATTTTTTTTGTTGTTTTTCTGCATGTTTATTAATTTAAGTTATTAATTTTCCTTTTTACAATTATTTCATGTATCATCTCAGGTTAATGACACTGAACAAAATTGTTGTGAAATTTCCTTAATGTAAATACCAAACACAATTATCTTTTGTCTCGCCATATGTAATTATCTGCCCAGTTCCATTACTATTTTATTCTCTATATTTTCGATGATAGTTAATGGTTAAGGAACCACGCGTAAGTTGGCTCTATCATTTAAAAAAGGCTGAATTATTAGAATTAAAGAAAATCTGGCAATTAAAAACAGCAGGTAGTAAGGTTAAAGTCATAAGAGTAGCGATTAAAGATTTCTTTTTGAGTAATCCTTGGTTATGGTCAGTATCTTCGACGTCCTCAGAGAATTCGGAAGAAAATATGACAAACGAGGATGAGCTGGAATCAAATCAACAAGAGTCTAAACCACCAACCGCTATGTTTAATTATATTCCCCCCCTCCCCGAGTTATTCGTTACAATTTTTCATTTCCTTAAAGTTCAATAATAGTTCAAATCTCTCTGCCGACGATTTTCTTCAAAGAGTAAATGAAAAGCGTCGGACTTATAAAATACCCGATGCTGAGTTACTTTGCTATTTACCTGAATTATTCCAAGGGACACCCCTCAATTGTAGCCGTTTAGAATTAGACAATTGGAAAAAATGGGAGGATTTTGAAAGGGACTTCCGTTCTGCTTTCTTTCCTCTAGATTATAAGGAAAAGTTGAAAAAGGAAATTGATCGAAGAACTCATGGCGATCAAGAAAAAATTATGGACTACGTCATCAACATTAGGACCTTATTAAAAAAATTGAATCGGCAGAAGTCCGAAGAGGAACAAATTTCGAAGATTTACGAAAATCTTTTGCCTCGATACCAATTATACATTAGGAGATCAGAAGCGACATCCTTAGCTAAATTGGTCGAATTGGGGCAAGAATTGGAGAAGATCGAAGACAGAGCCAAGACTTTTCGAGCACCTCCGACTAAAAGTAATAGCTTTTTCCCTGAAACTGCCTATGAACCTCCTCAAGCATCTAGCATACAATTTAAGAAGAGTAGCAAGATAGCCACTGTGGAGACTACAGCCAAGCAAACCAGTAAAGATGATAAGGAAGCGGCTTCTCCAGAATCTGTTCAAAGGAAACCTGAATCCTCATCATCCACTATCTTGAATCAGAAAAAAACAGAATTGGCAACAGTACAATCCCTTTGCTGGAACTGTCTTCAAACGGGACATCGTTATCCGGAGTGTTCTAAGCCTAGAACAACCCTTTTCTGTTATAGTTGCGGCACTCGTGGTATCACCAAGAAATATTGCCCAAACTGTAAGGTGGAACCGAGAACGGACCAGTATAAGGAGGTCGCTGCTGACCCTGTTTCCTCGACTAGAGACCTCAAATCTCGTGAGCTCAACAACCTTTCTACCTTATCTTTAGCTGAAGACAGGTTATACATTACACTAAGTGTAGGTAAGATCAATCTTCCAGCGCTTATTGACACAGGAGCCAATCATTCGTACATCAGTTCCTTAGGACTCTCATCTTTACACCAAGAACACATCACGCTGACATCTGTTACATCTTATCTTGTCGCGGTGGCTAACGGAGTGCGTAAGACGATTAACGAAGCTGTTGCCTTCTTAGCCAGCGTAAACGGCCGTCAGGTTCAAATATCTTTTTATGTCCTTACCAACCTAACAGTTCCTTGTCTTTTGGGAATGGACGCCATGAGAGCACTAGGGATAGTAATTGATGCTACTGAAGGGTCCTGGTGGTTTAAAGATATGCCTTCTTGTCGAGCTAAGTTTTCTAAGGAATCTTTGATTGGTCTTGAACAAATAGCGGGAATCAGAAGGTTGAATGAAGAATTTACAATCACCGACAATTCCGTTGGTCTTACTAATCTCGCCGAACATCACATCGATGTCGGAAAGAGCCAACCAATCATAAAGAGCATGATCACCTCATATGTTTCTGATCAACACAAGAAATGGGACAAGTATCTACCTGAGCTGATGTTCTCCATCAACAGTTCTCTTCATAGCTCGACGGGATATACACCAGCCTACTTAAACTTTGGGCTCGAACTTTTACCTCCTAATTCGTATTTTGGTAAATCTAGTAGTGACCAAGTATTGAAATCCCTTGATAATTGTGTTTGGTCTGATCATTTAAATAAGTTGAAGGAATTTCGGCAGACAGCGGAAGCAAGACTCAGCAGAGCTTCAGCGCGGCAAAGTAACTACTACAACCGTCAACGGAAGGAAGCGACATTCAGTGAAGGAGACCTAGTACTGCGACAGGCTCATCCTCTCTCATCTGCTCAACGAGGGTTCGCTAGCAAACTAGCTCCGAAATTTGAAGGGCCATTTCGAATTTCTCACAAAATGTCAACTAACGTATACCACTTGGAGACACCCGAAGGTACACCAGCTGGACTTGGACATCCAGCTCAACTAAAAGTCTATTACCCTGAATTGCAGCATGAGGGGTCTCACGCTCCCGAAGAA